GAATCCCCCAGCCAGCCATGCAGCCCCATGCTGGCTGGGGGATTCTGGGAGTTGAAGTCCACTCATCTTAAAGTGGCCAAGTTTGGACAACACTGTTCTAGATGCATGTAATTGCAGAAAGAAGCATCAATCATTGTCCAACCACCAAGTAGAAAAGGGTTCTCATGCTTCTGCAGTTACCTTTTATGCCTGGCTAAATGACACAGAGAGGCAGACAGGACGAAGGAGAGAATGGAGGCCATTAGAACAGATCAGTTTGGTCCTCAAAAAGCAGCAGCCATAACAGCACATGTCCGTGTTCACACATAATTTTTATTCTAATACACTTCAGAGGGAATATTTACTCTTCTTCAGAACAGTACAGCCTGAACAGTACAAATGCAATCTCAAGTGATTCTTAGAAAAATGTTTTTAGTGCAGCATTTGTGAGGTGCACTGTAAGCTAAATCAAATTCAATTCAGCACTGACTAATGGTAAAACACACACACACACACAACCCTCCACACCACACTCTTATCACATACTTTTCTACAGAAACTAGTAGATGGATAGCACATTCCCCCATGCTCCCTTTAGAACAGTGTTGTCCAAACTTGGCCACTTTAAGATGAGTGGACTTCAACTCCCATGGCTGGCTAGGGAATTCTGGGAGTTGAAGTCCACTCATCTTAAAGTGGCCAAGTTTGGACAACACTGCTTTAGAACCTTAAAACAGAAGGCTTCTCACATCAAAATCATGGTGGAGATAGTAGATAGGCTCTTTTTAATCCTTAAAACTAGATGGATTAGTTAGATCAGCTACCTAAGAACTCCCATGGCTGGCTAGGGAATTCTGGGAGTTGAAGTCCACTCATCTTAAAGTGGCCAAGTTTGGACAACACTGCTTTAGAACCTTAAAACAGAAGGCTTCTCACATCAAAATCATGGTGGAGATAGTAGATAGGCTCTTTTTAATCCTTAAAACTAGATGGATTAGTTAGATCAGCTACCTAAGAAAAATAAATATAAAATAGGAGATACTGTATACTTGTTTCTAAGATTCACTAAGTATTGTAAGGTCACCTATCCCAGTTCACAGCAGCAGAATCACAAAGAC